ATATATGCAAATGAAGAAACTTGATGAAAAAATAATAATAATAATTTTCATCGTTGTCTCACGAAAATCTCAGAGACAACCCATCCTTAATTTAATATCACCCACAAATTCGAGAGCCTCTATGAGTTGGGGGAGTGAGATAGAGACAAATACCCAATGGTTAGTCCGAAATATTTATTTGATTCAGAGTTGAAAATGAGGAAGACTGCACGTCGTTCATTTACTAAATCGAACGTGAAAGTCGTTTTCCATGGTAGACCCACATGCAAATTAGACCCTCCATAGACGATAGAATGTGGTCTTTAATTGGGGCATACATCTTATGATGAAAGACCACAAAAATATATGTTGAGAATCATAATGTAGTTGGAATGCCATAATCATACAAGAAATGATGATATAGTCACATATTAGGGAAAGAGACACCTTTCTTTTTATTCATTCGTTGCAATTTTTTTTTTTTTTTTTTTTTTTCAAATTTAAGACGTAATACATTGATGCACTCTGTTTTAAAACATGTAAGAGATGCACAAAATTTTGGGTAAAAAATGTCAACGGCCACTGTACTTTCAATGTTATTTTTCAATAGTGACTGAGCTTTAAAATGGTTTCAAATTGTCATTGTACATTCTAGTTTTTTTCCCCATTTGTCACTCTATCTCCATTCATTTGAAAATTAATAATTTCGATGATGTAGCAAACAAGATCATTTGATGCGAGGTAGAGTAACGAAAGGAAAACAACTTTAAACTATAGTGATTGTTGGAGTGAATTGCCTATTTAGTCACTGAATTTTTAGCCATGCACGCAAGGGGTCACTGAACTTTAAAAAAAAAAAACGCAACTAGTCACTGAACTTTACAATTCATCATCCCAGAAGTCACTGAGCAAACGACCGTTGATAAATTGGACGAAATTTCCACGTGGCAGCTGACGTGGCGAGACAACTCAATGAATTTTGAAAGTTCAGTGACTAAATAGGCAATTCACTGTCGCTTGTTCCCCATTAAATTATAATTCATTTTTTTATCAAATACACATTCTTCAATAAAATAAGATTACACGTAAATAAAAAAAAATCCTTCTTTTTTAATATGTATTTTGAATAAAATGAAGCTCAAACAGGAACTTGTATAAGTACCCTTAATTTTGAGATCCTTTTGAAAAATCATTATAAACTGATAAGTACTTGATGCTACTGTTAAATACACAATTGATAATCTAGTTCAGGGCTGGAGCTCATAAATTCATTCAATGCGGGCCCTATTTAATTGACGTCAAGCTCTTAGTTTTAGGTAATGAATTTAATGATGATAAAAGCATAAAATAATATTAAGAAGATACTAAAAATAACTTAGTTTATAAATTAAACTTGTTCATTGCGAGTTTCATACTTTGATATCGTTCTACAATAACGTCATTATCAATCTTTAAAAATATATCTTTCTCTACATAAATAATTATGTTATCATTCATCCACTGATCATCCATCCGATTAATCAATATATTTTTTACAATACTCATTTCAGAAAATACTCTTTCTATAGCAACCGGTAAAATTAACGCTAAAGTAAAAAGATTGTAAACCGATATATATACTTTATTTTTCTTTGTCATAACTAATTTCTCTGCAAAATCACTAAAGTCATTCAACCTTTCAAACTCTTTGTTAGAGCACATTTAAAAAATATAAGTTTTAAATTGATCATTAAGTGCCCGTTTGACCCCATTATTCCACATTATAATGAGAGGAATATTTTTTTTTGGAAAATGTATAGTTAAAAAAGAAGGATTTTTTTATTTACATGTAATCTTATTTTATTGGAGAATGTGTGTTTGATTAAAAAAAAGAGAAAAATGAATTATATTTTAATGGGGAACAATGGGGGCCAAGCGGAAGTGAATTGCCTATTTAGTCACTGAACTTTCTGCCATACATGCNACTAATTTCTCTGCAAAATCACTAAAGTCATTCAACCTTTCAAACTCTTTGTTAGAGCACATTTAAAAAATATAAGTTTTAAATTGATCATTAAGTGCCCGTTTGACCCCATTATTCCACATTATAATGAGAGGAATATTTTTTTTTGGAAAATGTATAGTTAAAAAAGAAGGATTTTTTTATTTACATGTAATCTTATTTTATTGGAGAATGTGTGTTTGATTAAAAAAAAGAGAAAAATGAATTATATTTTAATGGGGAACAATGGGGGCCAAGCGGAAGTGAATCGCCTATTTAGTCACTGAACTTTCTGCCATACATGCAAGGGGTCACTGAACTTTCAAAATTGAATTGTCTCGCCACGTCAGCTGCCACGTGGAAATTCCATCCAATTTATCAATGGCCGTTTGCTCAGTGATTTCTGGGATGATGAATTGTAAAGTTCAGTGACTAGTTGCATTATTTTAAAAGTTCAGTGACCTCTTACGTGCATGGCTTAAAGTTCAGTGACTAAGGCAATTCACTCGTGATTGTTGAGAAACAATTTCACAAGTACAATGATTATTCGAATTTTTTTTTTAGTTCAATGATCATATAGTTGTATTGGAATTTTCTAACCTACAAAATTATGCAACGAATTTTTTTATTTGACTGAAAATAAGAATATAATTGTGTAACCCCACAAAAATATGCAACGGGGTTATTTTATTTTTTAATTTAATTGAAGAATAAGAGTAATTGTCTGCACAACTAAAGATTAGTTAAGGCTTTAGTGTAAAGATGGAAGCCCAAAGTTGAAGACCTCAAAAAAAAAGAAAAAAGAAGTCTTACTGGTCTTGGGTTAGCATTAGATATTGGTTGTCTCAATAGACATGGGTTTCATTATCAAAACTCGAGGAATTTCTCGAGCGAGTGGAGCATTCGTAGAGTAGTTCGATACTTCTTTAATTTTTTTTCGTTTAGGTCTTTTCGGACTTTGAATCAAACAGTGAATTCTTGCAGCATTCACAAAGTAGTTCGATATTTCTTTAATTTTTTTCAGCTAGGTCATTCTAGACTTGAAAAAAACCTGTGATGTTGGAATTGGTGACTCAAATTAGGGTTACCATATGTGAAAAACCCAAATTATGTTGGAATATTTGGAAATATATTTTTCTTTCTTTGCGCGTATTTGGAAAAATATTATTTC